CACAAATCTTCTTATGTTGTTCACAGATAAGGGAAAAAAACAGCCTAATTTGGATTATGAATTATCGTGAATTTATTATAAACTTTTGTATATTTGTGAAAAAGGCTTAATTTATTCGAGGCATCAAAAATTAAAAAAAAAACTTTTCCACCTGTCTAGAAATAGTGGTCAAGTCCCCATGTCTCGAAAAATGTTCCACATGTTCGGGGGGATTTTTTGAGCTTCACCAGTCCAGAAGTCAAATCGTTCGTACGTCGGGGCCTCACAGTCCACAATTTCGTAGCTAGCTCGAGGTTTCTGACTACAACCTTGACAATCGTGAAGTTATCATCATTTCCGAATCACGTACAGGAACGTGGGAAGGAAAGCACAGCATAGCACGTGTAATCCGAAACGCTGCGACACGTGTCGAAGCAAGCGGATACATATAAAAAAATAAAAAAAAGTCATTTCCAGGTGTGCATACACAGTTTAGTATTGTACTGTACTGCACACTGAAGGCGACTGCGTAACTCGCCTACCGTGAACAACCAACAGACAACATTTCTCTAGAATCTGAGTGACAAAGGAGCTCATCGTTATTCCAAAAGCAATTTTACCTTGAGCGCATGGCTCAACTACAGTATATGCTTCCGATAAAAAAGAAACAAGGAACAACAGTGGGATGATTAATTACATTGATCAGGAGAGGCAGAAGAGGAATTATAACTTCCGTCTTTACAAAAGATGAGGTCGCACTTCACCACGCTAGCGTCTAATCATGTGTATAATAACATCAGGAAATATTGTACTCATTCTCGCATGGAGAAAATGCTAGCGAGATAAATTGCATCCGTGTGTCAATTTCACACAGGTAAAATAGACTCAAATAAGCCAGGAAAAAATGTTGCTGGGAGCATCAACGCAATGGAAGATCAAAGTGAAGGATGAAAAAATAAAGTGAAACACAAAAAAGAATAACAGGGAGATCCATGCGATACATTTTGAACCAATGCCAGGAGGTTAACAGTATTCAGTCCGACCTAGAATCGCTTTCATGAGTTCAACGTCATGTTGGGACCATAAAATTCGCTTTTCTCTCAAGACAGAATGCCAAAAAAAAATTAAACAACTTTTTTTTTTTTATCTTTCATAAGAACCGCACATTCCTGCTCGGAGCTGACGTGGAACGTAACACCAGAAATCAGACAATGACGATCGAAGAACCTCCAAGTTCAATAATCAACAAATTGAAATACAGTAAGCTTTTTAGCGGGATTGTTAGACCATCCAGTCGGTCTCTCAAGAGTTAAAAGCCACAAGAAATAATTAGGGGCTCAAATGAACTGTTTATTGTATTACACACTGTACTGCTGGCTTTCGAAAGGATTACGTGAAGACGAGCGTCTGGATGTCCTGGGTTCATTCGAAGAAGTGACCTGAATATCCGAGCTTTGAACTTTTGATGGCGTGCCAAGAAAGGGACGTCACATGGACGTGGTGTGTTGGTAGTTTCGGTGAAAAAAAAAAAAAAAGATATTCGGGAGAAGAACTCGTCTTTACCCCTCAAGAATATGGAGGGGGGGGGGGGGTTAATGCATTCATTTGCTTCGAACTTGAATTGAAAGCGCGCATATAGTTTTTTCTCTAAGTTCACTTCTACAGTCAACCCTTGATTTAATACTGCACCACAAGATGCACGAATTCCCCTAGTAGTAATAACCCTCCGAAGAGTAGAGTAATCAAGGGAAACCCAGATTTAGTACCAACTCACTCGGTACTGGAAAAAAATCTTGTCCAGATTGAAAAATAGGCCAATATCGAATAAATTGAGGCATTTGTTTCAGGATATCACCAGGTTATTACTTGGAAGCACGTGTCCATGCTCTAATTCAATTCTAGAATGCCTTTTTAAGTGAGTGCTATTATGTATTTGGATGTTCTCCTCATTGAAAAGTGTGTCCATAGCCGGAATGGTGTCTTCACAAAACATCAAAAATCACTTGACCTGATTTTGAAATTGCGTGCTTGAAACTTTGAAAGGTTGATTCAAAACTTCAAGAAACAGCTATGCTCTTTTACTTGACATAATATGGGCAAAAATGATACACAGATGGACTTTGCCTACAACAAAATCGAACAGACCAGAAAAATTTCACGTAGAGAGAATTTCATCGTAGAGAACCAATATAGCATAAGAAAAAACCCTATGAGACTAAAAAAAATCATACGGAGAATATTGTTGCAGATAAAATCATTGTAGAGAGATTCCACCTGCATATTTTGTATTGCAGTTGAACCTCATCAACTCAACCCTCCTACGTCAATTTCTGTTTTCAAGCCTGTTGCATTAAAAGCCTCCCCAACGTCTCCATGAAGGAATTGAAGAGGGAACATTTTCAATATACAGTTCATATTTCATACAGTGAGCCTTTTTATAGTGTCTCAAAAAATATGAACAGTGAAGTAGATTTTGGAGAAGTTCATAAGTAAATTCTTTCCAACTCAACTGATCCATTCATGCATGTTCGTTCTTTGAAATAAGAGAAAATTCCGTCTACCGTAATGTCCATTTGTAAGAAAGGCATACGTTCTCACATTAAGTCAAGGAATAACGAAGAAATATGTCATGCTCTGTATTCTCTTGAGCATTAAATTCTCCACTCAGAAAGGTTTTCTTCTTTTATGAAGTTTGAATGCTGCACCGGTTAGATTTTTTCTTCATTTTTCTTCCAATTATCGAACAATTCGTATGCTGTGCATGCACAGAAGCAAGGGAAATCATTAGTTATGCTGAGATTGCAGCCTACAATGAGTTCGTTAAACGGATATTTTTATACATAACTTGGCGCCTATCGAGAAACTGCAGGGGGAAAAAATCATTACACCCGGAAAAATCGCTGAAGGGAAATTCCCCTGAACAGGTTCCAGAAAAAAGGATTCCATACGAACCTCTCGCAGATAATTCTAAACACGAGCGGCACAATCCAGTCAATTATCTTTGATCGTTCATCAAAACTACATTTTCCCCTGAAACCCAGTTGTTCAACGTCGGGTTCCACCACCACCCAACCGATGCACGCTTGCTCGAACTTCCAGACAGGAAAGGCCATTACCCGCGGTTCAGAGTTCAAAAAGAAACGAACAGGATGGGAAACAAGCTGACGAAGGTCGAAGCGTCGACCAGAACCGGTTGGGTAGTAAAAAAAAAAAAAAAAACATGACCCATCGTAAGCTAGACTTCCAAAAAATAAAAATAAACGGGACAATTTCATCAGCTGTTCGACGCACACGGATCCTCACACACTGTTCAGCGAAAATTCCGAGAGGAAAATATTCCCAACTTTTTCACGCCACTAGAATATACAAGTGCAACGTAATGCTTTCGTATTCAACACCAAGGGAGAGAGAACCCGTTGGCTTTTCCGACAAAAGCGCCGCTTCGTGGATAACTCGAAGGGAATTTCTTTGAGTCATTCACAGGTTTTATTTCTTAATTTTTTCGAAAAGCATTCAAGAACAACCTTGAGTGGATGGTAAAAAGCAGATAGAAGAGGTCGGAAAGCCGGAAAATCCTCCCATCCCTAATACGGTACAACTTCTTTTACTCCAACTTTCAGGGACAAGTAAGAAAATATGAGTCAGGAAACAAGCATTTTTGTTGGGGAAAAGAAAGAAAAATTGCAGGAAATTGAAATTGTTGATATGCTGGGATTTAAAATGTTAAATCGCTTTTCATATGAGTGGACATGCAGGATGCTGAACTTGAAGGAAACCATTCATTAGCCAAACAAGTTTTTCCCTTCTGTTCAAAACACATCCAGTTACATTTTCATTACTCTTTTCTTTCCTGCATCAAAACAATATTCGCCAGAAGGTCTCAGGAAATTCCAGTCTGAAATGAGTTTAAAATCCTGAGTCTGAATACGACAATTTTTTTTTTACAGTAAGTTTTTCATCATTCTTGAACGGTTTTACTGTAATTACAGAAAATTTTAAAGCACTGGTGGAAATTTAGATTAATTTTTTAATCTACTAAATTTTTAATGAATTGTTTCTTGGAGAAATAATACAGGTACTTGAAATAAGTTGAACATAGGAAGGTATTGGACTTGAGGAGGTTCCAGTTATGGAAGTTCAACTGAATTAATTTTCATGTAGCTTCATCACAGACGCGTTTCGTCTTTTTTGCTCATCCAGTAAACAAATGTAACTCATTCTTCAATTATCCTTTCTTCGCAGTTGCGGTCGGCCTTCCTTCGACAAGGATCGCTATGAAGGCTACGAGGTTCATCATTAGCATTGCCCAGGTGTTTCAAAAGTAATTTGCGCTGCGCGTCCTATCTTTCCAAGCGTCTCGCCATACGATAATTACCGCTTCCACGTTCATGCCCACCTCCCGCAATTCACGGCTCAGACAGTATGAAAAAGTACCTTTCCGACTAGGAAAACGATTCAGTACGTCAACTTGATTCACCTCAGGGATTGACAATAGGACCAGACCCAGAAGTCATGATCACAAGGGTTCAACGATTCCGAAGCATCGTTCACGAGAGGAGAGAGTTGCGAGGGAGAACACAAAAACGAACAAACTTCCACCAGTGCTTTAAAATTTTCTGTAATTACAGTAAAACCGTTCAAGAATGATGAAAAACTTACTGTAAAAAAAAAATTGTCGTATTCAGACTCAGGATTTTAAACTCATTTCAGACTGAAATTTTGCGGGAAATGGGCAATAAATACAGTACCCGTACTGAAAAGTGCTTCCACGACAGATAATTCAAGACCTATCATAATTTGGTCTCCCTCACGAAATGGATATAAATTTGTTCTTTATATATGGTCATTGCATCAGTGCGAAGTATGGAATGTGGCACACTCCAAAAAAAGTTCTTTTTTTCACAGGACTTTAGCGACAACCGCAACAAAACGCCGCCATTCGATAGCACACAAAACGGTCCTTATCCTTTGCCCAGAAAAAGACGAGAAAAAAAAAACTGGTGCGATAAGGCATCACTTCGTCACATAATGAATATTTCATCAGGGGTCATGCGCATTACCCACAAATAGAGAGTGAGTGAGCCTGCTTGCCAGCTGCAGGAGGCTAAATTTAGCAATTCCGAGGTTCTAGCCACATCCAATGCTGGAACCCTGGCGCCATCGACCACACTCGATGGAGGGTCGATTACGGAAAAGACGTAAAGCAGTTCACGGGCCAACAACGAGCGAGCTGCAAACTCGCGTCTCGGGAGCCCTTCCCTTCTTGAAAGAAGCCAAGTCACAAGAGCTTATTGTAAACATCAAAACATTATACTGTACACATCTTCCCTTCTTTGCCTTGTACTACGAACGTAACACACGAATTATTTTCGGGAAACAGTTTCTTCGCGAAAAAAAATCCATTCATTTTTGTGCGTGACACCACTGAACGAGAAACATTGATTTATTCGCCTTTTCCAGACTGTATGACTATTTCCCCGGGATATTTGGAATTGAATATTTTCGGCCGCAGTCTTTAATTACACAGCACATCAAGAATTACGCAAGAAGACTACAGCATAAACCTGCCAATACGGTATTTCGATTTGACGCACCAAAAGGAAGCAATTTCTGCCAAATTTGTTCGCATACAGTATTTCATATCAACGATGCAAATAATTACACTCAATTCTGGATTTAGTGTCACAAAGTACCCTCGCACAAATCCTTCTCGGTGTTGCTCTTGTGGGAAACCACAATTTTGTGCCACAAAGACATCCTTGTCCTGGATGAAAAGTGGGCCAAAATCAAACAAATCAAGGCCTTTGACTAAAGGATACCATTGAATTACTACTGAAAATCACATGCCCATGCTAAAATAAAAACTCGAGATACATTCGAGAATCTGTTTCCAAATTTCAAGTGTTGAAAATATTTTTGCTGCTGCATGTTCATTAAAATTGTAAAAATGAAGCAGGCGCTTTTCTGGTAACATTGGCGATTCCTGCACGATGGCACTTGACACAAAACTTGCAGTCAACCAGAGCTTTAAGAAATGCCTCTGCTCTTTTACTGGACACAACATGCGTGAAAATCTGATTGATTCTGAAATTCTATGCATTTAAATACAGTATAAAAACATACATTTCAGATTCGAATTATTTCTTGTGGCCCCCTCTCTTATAAAAGAGATATAGTGGCAAAAAAAGTATGTGTATTGTACAATCTTGTTTTTCGTACAGTAAATCCTCCAACAGAAACTTCCCCTCGAACGATTCCCTCAACTTAGTGCCACAAAATGTGTCCGGACAAAATTTTGCACCACTAGAGATTTGAATCTGTCTGAAAATGGTGCTGCGAGATTTCGAACAATGTCATAATTCTAATTTTAGATCACCGAACTATATTTTTTCTCATCCTGCGAGCAACCTTTATTTTAGACTCTTCAATTGGAATGCTGGACATTCACACCCAAGCTGTAGCATGATCCATGTAAGGGCCAAAAATTCAATTGTAACAACACAGTCTAACCTATAAATCAAACTTCGATGGACCAGGAAAAAAAATAGGTAGGTTTTGAGTGAGGAAAGCAAGCATTACTGTATGGAGGAAAGAAAAATGAATCACAGGAAATTTCAATTGCTGACATTCCCGGCCTTGGATTTTTTCCTACATGAGTTGACAGGATGCTGAACTTGGAGGCAAGGGTTCATTTGCTCAATTCATCTTTCACTTCCTTCCAGAACACACATCACTTACATTTTCATTGCTTTTCTCTTTCCTGCGTCAATAAAAAAAAAAATAGGTAAAAGGCCTCCAGAAAATCCACATTACCGTATGGAGGTTTGAGGGGGACAGCCTCAAGTTACCGAGGTTTTTAATGCATTGCTTCTGAGGAAATTCAGACAAGGACTTGAAAACAAGAAAATTGAGACACAGGAGAGTTCGAGTTATCAAGGTTCAAATTTAATTATAATGAAAAATCAATGACCGTGACTGATGAGCCACAAGATAAAATTTAAAAGCCAGCAATTTTTTCCTTTCTCTCGTGAATACTGCACGCCGAAGCTCACCTGTCTGGCTGGAATCTCCCCGAAAAGTTGACGGGAAAATAGTGCTCTGCAACCCGTCGGTCCGTCCACGAGTCCGCGTCAATGGGAATGTACAACTGCTCAATGTTGGTCTGGTAGTCCAGTGTCCAGTAGGTGGAGCCGGCAAACCCCAGCGACATCACCACCGTGATGGACACGACCCACCAGGGATACATGCCCACGTAGTGTCCCAGGGTCCGCAGCAGGATCGTCAGGGCTTGCGGCACCACGTCTCGCGACGGACGCAGCTCCAAGAGCGACATGATTGCCATGCTTCTTCTTCTTCTTTCAATCCACCAGCACTCTCGAAGTGTAGTCTCCCCTTATCTCTTACAATCACAAGAGGAGGAGGAGGGGGAATTTTAACATAAATAGAAAGGAACACTCGTTCATTCATTCACTTACTCACTCGCTCACACACTCAGACTGCTTCTTCGTTGTCGTCGTCGTCGCGCGCAAACTCTTGGTCACACTCTACTCGATCTCACCCGAACAGCGCGGGGTTCCGTGCGGCACTGATGGAGACTCCATCTCACGACCTGATCCACTGACTGCCGGTTGACGCGACCCGGCGCCCGCTGCGGGCAACCATAAACTAAAAACGAAAGAAAACAAGGATGAATAAGAACTCGAAAGAGAGAGAAAGACAGGCGACCAAAAGGAGAGAGGGGGGGGGGGGGAACAGACCAAAGAAACCCAAANNNGGGGGGGGGGGGGGGGGGGGGGGGGGGGCAACAGACCAACGTAACCCATATGCAAACGAGGAACACCGCTGAACTCGCCACAGCGCATTGACCCGTTTCTTGATTCTAGCAGTATCTCACACTCACTCCACCAAGTCCACAACGCGCCGATCGAGACACCAACAATCCAATGAACGACAACATATGAGCCTGGAAACGAAAAATTGGCTTTTCTCCTGATAGCTTTTCCGACGTATGTTCACCAAATGAAAATAAATTGACTTTTTACATTCAATTTCTTCAAGACCACATTTCTAACATTCCACAACATCTGCTTTATTGGTTCTCAATTCTTGTATAAAAAAAAAGCAGAAACTTTTTTAAAACCTCCATGAAGTCTTTCAAACAAAACTTCTTGAGGCTGCAACAATTTTATGAAACTTTGCCAGCCCACGAAAATGTTCGTGGAAATTTGCCAATCTGAAAAAAAAACAACAGAAATTCGCTGGTCCGCGGGTCGAAAAAGGTTGGGAACACAATTTCATCGTATTAAACAAAACCAGAGAAAATTGGGAGACTAGCGAAGTACAGTACAGTACTACGCGGATGAAACTGGAGCGAGTTTCACAGATGATGAGATGGGCTGAGGTAAAACGTCTCAACTCGTTCTTACAATCCAAGCACATCAGTGGGATTCCCCCAGATGAGGACACAATTTGTGCTTAGATTTTGTCCCTATATGTCAAAATGTCCGCACGACGGTATCACATTTTCCCTCAGAATTCATTCGGAATGTGTTTAATTGTTTCTCCTGTTGATCAATGATTGGGAAAAAGCCCTCGAAAAAGAAAAGTAATGGTTGGTTCATTGCTCAAGGCGTTCTTCAAGACCCGATTTCCCATGGGAACCTATTGAAGATTGTTCAATTTGTTCAGTATAAGAAAAGTATACGATACTTTTTCTGAAAATGAGCATGGCAAATTCAAAACCAGAAATGAGTACAGTACAGTAGGAAGAGAACATTAGTAACTAATAAGTTTTAATCAAAAATTACGAAAAACATGCAAAATTAAAAGCAAGACGGAAGGTCTTATTCCATCAGTATTTGTATCGCCCTAAGCATGATATTTTCAAATCTGATTTGTTTCCCATAATCCACAATTTATTTTCATGAAAACGTAAGATTTTGCTGATCAGTTAAGTTTACAAGGAAACACATTTTATAAATGTTTCCTCAATTTCACTAGACAAAAGTTTGTATCTTAACAATCTTGAATCAGGTTCACTGTTCGAGGTAAAATGGTGTACAAACCCTTATTAGTTACGCGTTGTTTCTTACTCAACGCGTACTGTACTCAAAAGGACCCACTGCAACCGGGAATTGATTAAAATTGGAAGCTTCTCTACCCACAGTAGCCATTCCACAGAGCTCGATGAACGCATTCATTTCTAAGCTTGTCTTGAAATAGAGCATAATCACAATTTTCAATCAGACGAAAAATTAAGACCAGAAGCATTTGAATACGAAGACTCGAGGTCACACGGAAGCAAGAATGTCGTGAATCTTCTACAAGCGATGCAAATCATACGTTCCTGATGCTGAAGATAACGGGATTGGAGCATAGTACTGTGTAGCTTACCGGTAAGGATCATACATGCAGATGCATTTCCCTTCATCTTGACGCGAGCCTCAAGTCAAAATAACAGATCATAGTACACCACGGATGGCAAAAATTAGGATGATCACAAACTTATAAAAATAAATTAAACTGAAGCTCAGTTGGAAAAATTAGAGCTCAGAAACTCTCAAAATACAAGTAATGATCAGAAGGAAAAAAAGTAAATCCTCAATTTAGTGCCATTTATCCTGGCAGATTTTGTGGCACTTCGCGAGGATGGCCCTGAAGTGAAGGCATTCTATGAGAGGAACATGAAATGATCTTGTCTACAAGAATTATTAGAACACCAAGCCTTATTTCATGAGGGGAAAGCCACAAGAAGTAGTTTGGAGCTCAAAGGTTTTGGGTTTTACACTGCATTTATACATATTAAATACGACAAAATAAATTAGACAATTACACTTATCATATCCAGTAAAAGAACAGACCTGTTTCTCTGAGGTCTGTTCATGTTTTATATCATGTGCCTTCATACAAGATTCAGCAATATTTCCAGAAAATCACCCACTTCATAAAAATTTTAATAAAGGCAGGTGCCAAGCAGCAACACAATTTTTTGCTTGAGTGTAAATTCAGAATTAGTATGTTCAAATTTATCCGCCAATTCTTTAAGCAACCGTGAGTATGTGATTCTCAGTAGTGCCCCTTCGGAATCTCCAGAAGAATGCCTCAATTTCTTCGATTTTTGCACATTTTCATCCAGTATATTGAATTTTTTGCAGTGAGTCGGCACAGAAGTTGGGCTTCCCTTGAAGAACACAACAGAGGAAGATCTGTTCCAGGGAAGTTTGTGGCACTAAGCAAGGACAGTACTAAATCAAGGGTTGACTGTACTCATTTTTTGCAATGGATTGAGGATGTGCACAGAAAAGCTTCAGGAATGAGGAACATTTTTCTCAATAAAATGTATTCTGAAGCCGTGGCTTCAGACTTTTCGCACTTTTGTATTGGTGATTCGATAAGAAATTTCTTTGTCAAAGAAAGGTGCAATGTTCGCAGGCAAGAAAAAAATGTCTGGATCCGCTAAAAATCTACGAATTTACAATTTTATTGTACAGAAGACTGCACACCAGTTCCCCAAATCTCTGCAGCTGCTCTTGAATACAGTGGAATGCAAAAAAGGAGGACTTGATTTAATTTTCGACTAGAACTTGGCTTTCAATGCACTATGATTTCAATTTTAAAAAATGCATCACAGCATGGTACATTATTTCTTAGCGCTATTTCGTACAAGAAGGTCCAGTTAACAGCAGTGTTCAAGCAAAAATGGGGCCCCAAGATGCACACGTTCGTTAAAAAACTTTTCTCATAGACTTGAAAGGGAAGAATATTGATTAGTTCTCCTACTGTTCATCAAAAATTACAGAAGGAAGGTCTCCAAAAATTGAATAGAAGTGTTTTTCTCAACTTCAAGATACGAAAAATAAAGGTGCAAAAGAAAACAGCAGAGAATGTGATCCTTTGGCATCAGAACGAGTTCAAAAAGCAAAGAACAAGAATAAGTCTAGCTACACTGCGCACACATGATCAAAAGAACACGAAAAAAAGAGGCACAAGTTGGCCTCTCAATGGTTTCGAATTAGGATAACTCTATAATGAAATATATTTTTTTTAATTTGTGAATCTATATAGCTTGATCCATTCGAAAGATATCAAAATGTAGAAAACTAAAAACATGTTTATACTTTTTTCTTGTTATACACTACATACGATTTACAGTATAATTTTTCCGGAAATGTTGAAAAAGGGGCCGGATCTCAATAAATTGTCCAGATTTCAGGGATGATTTATACAGTACCTTTAAATCTCGCCAAGTCGAATCGTCCGTATATCCGGGCCCCGATGTATTTAATTCTTTGTTGAATAAAAAATATGAAAAAGCTAGAAATATCAGGGTATATCATATACGAGTAATACGACACTTACATAAAAAAAAATTCGAATACCGTACATAAATGATTGATAAATTTTCACAGAGTAGCCTGGACTTTCTGAACAGCCTCGATGTTCCTCATCATTTCACAAACAGAAACAACTCTATCCATGAGCTCAAACTTCAGCCAAAGGGGCTCCACACCACAGAACCACTCGGACCGACCTTCCTCCAAGGATTTCATCAACTTACACTTGAATTCCAGGAACCCACGTCCAACAGCAAATTTCCACTTGGGACTATTGTCAAAAAGCAGATGCAAAATACTATCCATCACATCGGATATCCAGTCACAGTTCCTCCGATCGCGGAGACGCAAGAACCTCAACAAATGTGCCTCGAAAAAGCCGTGGCACGGAATCCAACCGGGTTCACAAATACTCTTCAAAAAGCAAGCAACGCCCGCTCGCAAAGCAATTCTTATCTCGTTGCCACGAGCTGCACGAGAACACTGAACTACAAACTGGTGCAACTTGAAACCCGTGGGATCCCTCGGGGTCTCCACGCGAACGAAGTTCTCACACCCAACAACAACTCGTGCAACTGCGTCCACATCGAACACGTGCTTCGCCTCAATTTCCGAAAAACCATCAGCCGGTACTACGGAATTCACTCTGCAAAAGTCTCGGAGCTCATTATCCAAACACCCGTGCAGCACGGCAACTCCCGACTGCTCACACAACAAGAGCAGCGATTCATCCATGCGTGTACACGTAACTAAAAACAGCACTCCTCGATTCAACATCGATTCCAAGAGTCTCCGAAAGCTGGAATGCTCGCACATTGAAGGCTGAAACGCGGCGAACTGCGTTTCTACATCACTCAACTCGTCCGGAAACTCGATTACGACACAACGCAGCACTTTCTCCACGCATTCACGAGTACAGTTTCCGGCTGTGAACATGAACCCAGGAACAATCCTGGTTTCACGAAATGCATCGCGAACAAGGAGCGCATCCAAATTATCCAATAAAAACTGCGCTTTCTGCGGAAACGAGTCGTTCCAGTTCCGACCGAAACTTCGACTGAAGAAGTCCTCCAACAAAACCCTGTTCACTTCGTTGAATTTACTCAACTGCATCTCGAAAACATCCAGTATACTCGCCGAAACTTCATACCCTCGTAATTCTGTTTTGAAGTCCGTGCAAATTCCACTCCACGCTTTCAAGTCCACGTTGCATTTCGGCAAAATTTCGAGAATCGCGAGCAGCAACCACTTACTCCCGTCGTAGCAAGAATCGCGGGTTCTTCGAGTTGCTGAATTCACGATTGAGCACAATGGCCAATTGAATTCATCGAATATATGTGCGCCAATAGATCGTACGTTTATACAGCTGCCGCTCGACACAACGACGTCGCGTCGATTCGGACCGAATGACGTCCTCGCAACTTTTCTCATCTCGTTCAACTGGTCCCAGTCGTTTTCCAGCTGCTTCCGGGAAAGCTAGTCAGCAAAAAGACAGTAGCACTCGTAATATAAAAAAATTCCCGACCTTACATGCGAAAAGAACCGGCAGATGTTTACGCATGCAGGAAGTTCGTCGAAGTGGGCTCAACATGTTTTTTATGGCCATCAAAACCAAAATTATACCATTTTCAAGGTTCAAGATCTCATTTGCAACATTTTACAGTGAACCCATTGTACAATTCATGGCACTGATTTGTTCCAGACAAAAGGTTTGTTTACAAAATTTGATTTTTCCATACACTTCAATTGAAAACCAACTAATCTTGCGTCCCTGTGGTCCAAAATACAAGTGAAATTTTCATTTTTTTCAATCAGGACAAACGTCCAATCAGAATGAGTTACTCCAGCATCCCGTGCGTTCACAACGTTTTGTAGAGCTGAATGGAAGTATGAATAATGAAAACAACACTCAAAAAGCTTTACATCCAGAAAATATTCACAGATGAGTAAAATAACTGTCACCAGAAAATGATATGCTAACTTTACAATCCTCTAACTACAGAACAAATTCAGCAGTTGAACTGAGGAAACAACTAGAAGTAACTGTTCGGAAGTGACTGTGTCCACAGCTGCTTACAGCTGGATATCAAACGTTCTATTGATTCTTCTCAACAGCAGAACATCCTTGGCACACCCTCATTTGATAACTTTTGTTGAGCAAACTTTTAAAATGTTTTCCAAGTTTTCATTCTGCCTTTTCACTTTTCAGCTTGATTCGTCCATTGGCACTGCCACTATATTGTACCCCAAAATTTAATGTCATTGCCTGGAAACCGAAGTTTGTCAGTAAAATTTCGGTTTGCTCACCAAGGAATTTTTCTTGAAGGAAAAAAAAGTTTGCTAACCGTGGTACACTGTGAAGTACTCTAATGCTGCAAGAAATTTGCAGAAATCTTCATCAAGACACGCGATCTCGCACACAATTGAAGGACTAAAAATGTAATTTACCACAAAAGCTTCGGGATTTACGATACACATTTCAACCAGACAGCAGAAAGGGACGACTCACCATCAATAATTTTTCAGGATTTCACTCGAAGTAAAATTAAGCGCTCCAGCATAAGCAAAAACACTGCTCACCCTCACAAGCAAAAAAAAAAAAAAAGTAACCACATCTGAAAGCGAGATGAACAAGCTAAAGCATCACATACACCCACGAAAAATAAAGTGAACGACATAGAAGAAAACACTTTTTTTCCAACTGACGAGTCATAAAAAATGTAGGATATTTTTCTATCTTTTACGGATCATCCCGATTTCTCGAGTATCACAGGGGAAATAATCAAGTCTTCAACTTGCTGTCGTTCGACGAGTTTCACGTGCACCAGAAAACAAAACGAAACAAAAAACTAAAGGAAACCACCGTAAATTATGTTCACCTGATGAAATCAACACCAGCAAACGTCTAAAAGCGGATACTAAGGAATTGTGGCAGAACGCATAGCTTTAAAATAACTCTGTTGACCTTGGTTCAAATACATTTTAAAATGTCCTCGTGAATAGAATTCTCTGAAAATGCCAACTTTCTTCGCATCTGTGACACAGACTAGCAGCAAGTACAAGGCACGACAGGATGTTGGAAAATTCCTTCTAAGCTTTTAAAACTAGCCTCAATTTCTCATCCATTTGTTGGAGCTTCTTCATCTTGGCAAACTCGTCACGCTTGCGCTGAACGTCGAGAAAAACGGCCAAGAGGTCGTCAACGGGAATGGGCACTAATTGTTCAACCTTTTCTTCTTGATCACCGAGCGTGTCCCCCGCAATTTGATGCGGAAGCCCTTTGTTCCCTGGCAGACAATCCAAGCGGCGGCGAAGAATGTGGAACGCTTCGCTTTGTGGTAGCAACATCAAAATCCCGTATAAGGTTTGCACTAGCACTTTGCTGTGCTTCGGGTGGAGGAGATGCAGCCGCAAATCTGAAACCAATTTCATCCGTTGACATGGAATGCCCAGCGAGCCTTTTACGTTTGAGAAACTGGCTTCGCAATGAAGTGCAATGCACGAACCCTTCGAGAGGCTGAATTGAACTTTAAAAAATATTATACATAGCTTTTTCTCCAAAAAAGTTAAATTTGCAAACTTGAGAATTTTGAACGATTGCCTTATAAAAATACTGTAATTAAAAGTGAAAATATCGGTGGTCTACAACCAGGCGGTTCGAAGTTTCTTTTTTTTTTGCAGCCTCGCTGGAAATTTGCTTCAACATAATACAGTATATTCAGCAAAGGTAGTAATGAAGTCCGTTATCTTGAGCTGAACTATAGGGAAGACAATGGTATTTGAAATTATCTGATGAAAAAAAAAGTGGGCTTTTTCCTTAATAAGACCTTCAGACAAAGTTTCACCAGCTGGAATAAATTATTTCAAGTATGCATTCTAAGAATCTTTCTTGAAGCCAAGCTTTCTAACTTTTTGAAGACATTTCACTACAGCTGCCTCATTGGTTCTTAACTTACAATTAGCATTTCCAACATGCTGACCACAAAAATTGTTCACTATTGCTCAATCATTCAGATACAAAAACCACTCGTTGGTAACGGTAAACGAGAAGCAATTTCTCACATGTAAAAATCGGCGATTCGAGAAGCTGCACCAGTTTGTCGACCTCCTCCAGAAATTCCAGAGTAACGTCCAATTGGGAACTGAAACACATTAATCCGTAATACAGTATTTGTCATTAGGAAAAAGTACGAACAGAATTACTGTAAACTCACAAGTGTTCGATCAATCGCATTGCATGCAGATAATTCTGCGACAGCAAACAAAGAGCGACTGCAGCAGCAGGACAATGACACCAACACTTGTACAAACAGCAGAACAGCTGACAATCATCCTGGAATTTTAAAAAATGAATTGCTGAATGCCTGAAAACCACTCTCACGATGGAAACTATCGCAGAATTCGCAATAATCAAGGGATTTCTGGAGCAATTTAAAAATACTGTGGGACCCCCACATAAGAACGATTCGATTTAGGGACACTTGAAACTAAAAGATCAGCAAAGAAATCTGGAAAATGTCTCGATATACGGAAACACCCAAGATTTCTAGAACAGGAAAATACTGTATAATTTTTATTTGATATCTCTCAAAAAAATTGAGTATTTATATTCATAAAGTATTAAAATTATGAATACCGTGAGACCCCACGAAGCGAATGTAATTGGTGCTCGGACCTTGTTGGAGCTTCCTTACGTCGGATCACGTTTTCCCGTGAACTTCGAAGGGAAAATATTTAATTGGTTATCCTATTCATCAAAAATTGGGAATGATGTCCACAAACACTGAATAAATTTTTTTTCAACTTTAAAATACATAAAATAACTGCGTAGAAGAAAACCACACAGAATCTCACCATTTGGCATCGAAAGGAACTCAAGAAACAAAGAACATGTCTATAGCTATACTGTGCACAAATGATAGAAATAACTCTTCAAGTAATGGAAACAACTCGGGGCGAAACTGTAATTAAGACACAATCTTAATTGTTAAAACCTTCATTATAGAATTATATACTTTCTAAGCCTTCTCTGCATATCATGTCACGGCTAAAAATGCACAGAAATTCCTTTCTGATTGCTGATGAAACTACGTGACGGGCTCGAAAACTCTGGAGGACAATTCCAACGCAAATCCAAGCCATTCGTTCGCTGATTTGCATTAATCGACCATATCCAAAGGAGAGAAAGCGGGCAATGATGGATATACAGTATACATATACAGTATATGCATATATATATATTGTACATAGAAGCTCACAGGGGTGCGAAGAGCCTTGAGCCTATTCCTTAAGTCGGCCAACTCTGGACTCGTAAAGAGGATGGTATTCAAGGTCTTGACCATCATGCCGACAAATTCCAAGTTGTCGTGGCGCTGCAGGGCCTCTGCCACCGTGATGAAAATGTGTTCGGCACACAACAACATGCTCAATTGGCGAATGATCAACGAGCCTCGTCGTTCCAGCAACTGCGGATCGAGTCGCAAGAGTTCCACAACGCAGCAGGCGAAATACGGACTCAGATTAGGACTGCGTGCGATGAGCTCCGGCAGCCAGTCCGGGGCGTTCGGGAACGAGACGTCCGACAATGGCCGTTTTCTGCCCACCGGGTCACTCGAAATCTTCGCTATCACCTTCAACGCCACTAGTACAACCTACGATGCAGTGTCATGAATTAATATGCACAACAACAATGATGATCAAAACATCGGATGACGACGTGCTCATCTTATCTGGTGGGCTACTACAATAGCGGAAGATTTCGTCATCTCCCGCAAAAAGAATATGGCTTCAAATACACAGCTACGGTAGACATCACATTCTTTCGATGAACGTTTCAGCACGTTCTATCCCGGCATTAGGGTGCATACCGGCTCCGATACCAATATAGTCCTATAACAGACTAAATTCGCGAGCATTTCCTGCTTGCGATATCTTCTAACCATCAAACCGTGAAACGTTTCAACGTACAAAGCGTGTTACACGCATGGATAAATAAGTACTACCGTATTTTGAACACGGAGCATAGATTTTTTATCGATTGTTCTACTGACGGTATAAACCTTTTTTTTTAAGCGTTCGAGCGACACCGGTCAAATTGAATAATGTACTGTTCTTCATTTCGCCCTTGATCCTTAATGAAGAAATAATGATACAGTATGCAACAAACAGACGTGAATTTCAAAGTGATGTGATCAATGAAATGCGACATACTTCATCTTAATTACTGTACTACCGCCTGGCATGCAATTTCTTCCTCCAGCAAAAAGGGAGTCAACAGCATTTTTCTGATACAGTGACATTTAGTTAAAACGAACTTTCCTTCAAAAATAATTTTCAACGACTAATTTTCATTCATAACCTCAGGATAACATGAGATTGCATGCATAGGCCATGGAAATTTTCAACAAGTGGCCCAACATAGGTGAACCCAACTTGTGCATAACTTGAATACTTTCAGCAAAAGATACGTTCTTTATGCAAAAAAAAAAGCATCACATGAGGCACGAAAAACTGATGAAAATATTTCTAGCTTTATTTTAGAATTTAGAAATGGTTACTCTTTTCAAGGAGAAGTATGTTTTGAAGGATACAGTAATGCTCTTTCCAGGAGACACGAAGTTCATAAATCATTACTGCTCTTCTTACAGATGTACATTATTTTCTATTTGTTTCAGCTTATACAGTACTTCCGTAAGATCCGTATATTACAGTATTTTGAAAAATTTAAGAAAACAGAAGGTCTCAAATGAGAGATTTTAAATTATATTATGAATTTTCTCCATTATTTCATTAAAAGAAGCTTCGAATGATAGTAATTTTTTAAAAATCTGTTGTCGAAGTACTTCATAGCGCTTCGAATCAGTTTCGAATAACCATGAAGATCATTAAAAGAAAAATTTCTCAGGTTCGTTCGTAACGAACCTGAGATTTGTTGAAACGAGATTTTACAGATTAAAAAAAAAAGAAAACAGGCGCAGACATATTCAGAAATAAATTCGGAATTCGGGAAACTTACTTCATGTTCTGGATCGGACAAAGCTCTCAGGAGAGCCGGGAAAATGTCACTCATGTGCAGGAATGTCTGGTTGGGCATTGTGACCAACAAGTGATGAAACCAACGCAAACACGCCAACTCCGTCTCAGTTCTCGGACTCGGAATCTCCTTGGACAACACGTGTACAATGGCGCTCACGTCCAGCTTCGATTCCTCGCAAATAGACACACCCTCCAACTCGATTTTCGTTCCTTTAACGTCATCTCCGGCAGTAATCAAAGCCATCACAGCGTCGTTCAAGCCACTCGCAGTCGTCTTCACCGATAGTGATTGCTCACTCGCTTCGGAAATCGCGGGAAGAACAACCGTCAGAATGTTGGAAGCGGAAGGAACCATTTGTCGGCCGCTGAGATTCACGAACTCCTTCAGCCAGACCAGTGCAGTGTACTATCAAAGCAAGCAGTAGTCAGTAAGTTCGAATTTTGGAAACATTTTAGAAAATTCGATGCAATGAATTAAAATCGAATTATAAAAAAATACCATTATGTAAATGTTTCCAATAAAACAAACTTTTTCTTAAATCCCAATGGAACGCCGACATAGAGAACATGTTAAAAGAATCTTGTTACAACAAACTTCCCAATTCCAGCATAACACTCTTTAACGGAATATAGATATTCCAGGTAGAAATGTCCTAAATAGGGCAGTCGCAGTCTGAAATTTCCAATCCAAAATGTGACCGAGTGATTATTGCAGCATGCCTGGAAGCTGTAATCACTTACAAACATGCTTACAAGTAGTTCCACGCATCAGCCTACCACAATGAAGTTGTGCGCAACTGATGGAAACCATGATTGAAGCTAATTATATTCAGAAGATAACTCAGTCTTTCAAAGAACCATACAAAATCACAGAAGGCCAGAAAAGCAAGGTCTAGGTTATAGCAATCTATAGGCAGGTCACGTGTTGAACTTTTTCTAGGAATTCATTATGCAAATTTTCAACAAATTATTCCGTACAACAAAATTTTCTCAAGTCCCCAGAAGTTTGTGGCATCGAGATTTTACTGTACTACATAATGCTCGCAAAACTTCGCAACCTACATTAATGTGACGCATCGGAAGGCGCGAACAAATATTGACCGCGATGAAAAAATACGGTATGCTGAGTTGCACGGCGTCTTAATTTTAGTCAACAGTGCTTGTCTGACACAAGGTACGAGGAAATACTTTGAATCTATACCTTGACAGAGAAAACCAAAATTCCGATTGAAATCGAGCAGAATGGAACGAATTCCTTACTCGCAGAAGTTCATCTTTTGCGTCCGCATGTGTGACTAGGATATTTGTCATGGCCGAAAAATCCACCTTCTCTGGAGTTTTGAGAATCCTGTGCAGGAATTCCCCCAATAAAGTGTCACACCTGATCAGAAGTACAATGCATCTCAAATTAGTCAACGGTATAAAATAATCGGTAATGTTTAGTTAAGTTTATCAGCAGATGGGTAATCTCATTTATACAGCAGTTTGAGGCCAAAAAACATTAACTTTACAAACCTGTGATTATTTCAACACTTCTCTCTAAAACAATAAAAAAAGGCTGGTTTTCCCAACTCGAGAAATCCCCCAGTCAAATTTCCATGTGGGTGGGTACCTTTGAATTCGTTTGTATCATATTCCAACAGGAACTTTAAATTCGATTCCGAGCTTGCTACCAGAGGCATTTCGAGCTTTGACCATCGTCCCCAGACGATGTCTTTGTATGCAAATATATTTTGCATACAAATGAACTTACATCTTTTTAACTTCCGGCGAAGAGTCAGATAACATCAAAAATAACCCATCCAAGAATTCCGGCAGAAAAATCAGCATATCTATATCCGGCACGGAGTCCAATACTGATATCCACGAAATTATGAATTGCCTGGCGAAGGGATTTTTGCTGTAAATGCGTTCTCTCAGCAACGGGATGAATGCCACCAAATCAAATGAAGGAGTTTCCGTCACGATGTCCTGTAACAAAGATCAGTCAAGCTCTCAGAACGGGAAAAATTCTGTCTATCACAGCATAAACGCGTTAACGAAAATGTGAATTTCTTCAACGAGATGAAGTAGGGATCTGGCGTCCGTTTCATCGATTTGATGAGTTGCACATCAAATACGCTCCACCTCGTTCAACCGATAAAGTACGATAGGGCATCGAATCCCAGAGTACATCTTCCGTCAGACATTCATGTTTTGAACATAGAGGTTTATTACGACAGATGCACTTCTTCACAAATCCGTTGTCATACGCACCTTCAGAAGTCTGTCGGATAATTCACTGGCATTCTTTACGTGCTGGTCAGGATCAGCAATGAGTCGACTCAAAATTGAGAACAATTCGTTGAAATGAGGAAGAATGCTTCCACGGACCACCTTCACGACGTTGTAGAGAGTTTCGCAGGCTGCGTAACGAACGCGTGAATCAGCATCATTCAAACACAGCGTCACGGGTCTCAGCATTTCTTCCATGAACTCCACACAATCCTAAAGAGAGAAATGCATGTACACCCACCGGCATTTCTTTTTGAATACAGAAGGCGGAACGAGGGTTATTTCTGTGTGAATTGATTGGCGGGGATTGCACCGACAATAATTTAGCAAAGAATGAGATTTCGCGAGAAAGGCACTCTCGAAAGCACATCAACGAAATTACGCGGTTCCAATTTCACTGCATTTCACAAGACCCTTTTATTCAGTCACGGAGAAAATTCTCCAGTGGGCTCTTCGAGTTGAACGGTTGTTCTTTTCAGGCTACTTTTGGAATTCAGTAGATTCAGTTCGCAATTTTTCCGCTTCAGTCATTCGAGCAGAAATACCGATAAGTTTGGGACAAAAAATCCAAGTCTGAGTCTCCCAAGTGTTAGAACCTAATTATCAAAGCAAAGTTGTACCTCTTATGGACAGAGTGGTTCAGAATCTCCATCTCAGAAGATTTTCGTCCATTTTAAAAATCTCCACAAACTCGGAAGCGAGTTTTTTTTCCAGCTTGGAGCTTTTCAGGTCTACTCGACTACATTCGACGTATGGAAACGAACGGTAGATGCACGAACCGATATCCTTTGCATGCTAGTGTATCTTGATGTTCGACATTTTTTCTTTAGCACCAATAACTCACCTTATTGAGTCCAATTGCAGTGCTTGCAATCCCCATCAAGCCTCCTCGTCGTTGGTTCAGGTTTTGAGAACCTGCAAACTCTTTCCCTAAAACAACGAGCAGTTTCCTGATCAAATCCTTGTTGTTACTAGCCCAGAGATCTTTCACCATCCTGTAAAAATTGAACGAGAAATTAATAAAAATTCGGTATTGAGGCTGCAAAGAACTTACTTTTCTACTTCTGAAGACGCAGCTTTGCGTTTTTCATAAATTTTATCCTGCAACGCGCGTACGCACGCCGCACTCAACGGAGCATAATCTCTTTCCATTTCTGCGTGACACTTCGAATACTTCAGTTACGAATCTATCAGCACTTGATTAATGGTCAGGGAATTGAAAAATTAATGGTCACGGGAAATTTCAAGAGAGGCGCTCATTTCTTTAACCGATTTCCCATGAGCGGGTGAACGGAATTCTGGAAGGAATTCTACAGGAAGGTTCATGAAACGGTGAATCCCCTTTTTCATTGGAGTAGGTTTCGAATGTCAATGAAAGCGAATACTATGCTGCGAACATGAGTGGAACAAGAGGTAGGAAGCCGAAGAATAAAAAAAATGATCGTAACCTCGTACTCCAAGGCAACGTGTATTAAACCCAAAGGACGAAGATCTGGCATTTACGAAGACGAAACCAGGAGAATTTTCCACACGGTAATTCAAATTGAAAAAAAGACGTAACACGAAAACGTATCGTCGCGCTAGTACAAGAAAGAAACCAAAAACTTCCGTTGTTTCACGCACACGACGCTTTACAATTCCCCGTCCTCGTACTCGTAATCCTCATCATGCTTCTCTATCTTCAACAAAGGTTCATCTTTCACAGAAGCTTTGGGACGCTCTTCTGCTTCATCAGCAGAATCACTGGATTCGCCACCAGACGTTCTGGTCCTATTCTCTGTCCGTACACATCCATTTCCTCGTTCCTTCAAGGAAACGGAAAAATCTGAGGAAGTCCTGGCATTTTGCTTCCCTTCAGCTTTCCTCGCCTGCGCTTGTATGCCCATGATCTCATCCAAAGACTCTGTACCATGTGGAAATGATTTACATGAGCACACCATTGGATTGTAATGGAAGACCTTTCCACCGCAAAATATATTACCGGCAAGCTTGGCATGAGAATCGTCCGCAAAAATGCCATCCTCTTCATTCATGGCGTCGTCATTTTGTTTGCCAGCACTTCGCCTCCAACTTGCGTGCATGTTCATCGACATCTCTCGCTCCGCACGAGCTTCGGCTCGTGCATCAACCTTTTCGAACTCTTCCTCAAGCCGTCTATGTTTCTCCGCTACCATGTCTTCAAGCATAAACAGAGGAAATGAAAACATCGCACTCAACTCGTAAACAAGGCCTTACCATCGATTTCTTTACGCGACGCTTCGAGCATCTTTTCTGTGGCTTCCGACATCATCTTTGGGAGATAATAAAGAGGTGGCGAGGCGCTAGTCTTTATAAAATTTCTCAGAAGCTTCTGTTGCGTCTCCCATTCTTTCACCTTCAAACAGAAATGCAATCACATAACTTCAATTGAAAAAAGGAAGAAGGTAATGTGAACCATACCTCTTGCAACCGATGAAGTTTAAATTCTATTCTTCGAATTTCCTGCTGCTGTTTACGGCGATCGAAAATCAAGTTTCGCTTCTCTTGATTCATTCGTTCGCGTTCAAGCTTACTCTTTTCTTCTACTTTCTTTTCTACTTGAGCTCGTTTCTCTTCTTTCGTTTTAAGCTCCGTTTCCTCTCGTTGAAACTGACGCAAGGTACCGAGGAGACAACCGAACATCCGACGATTGCGGGCATTGGTTCGTGTATCGCGCTCACCATTACGAATGGCTTCCTCTCTAGTTCGCGCTTCATTGCCAGTTTTAACGACACTTGAGGAAAGAGTTGGTTTCTTTTCCGCAACTTCTTCCTCATCTCGAACTCTTCTTTTGAAAGGAGGTTCCGCATCACTATAAAAATGCTCAGTGTTACTGAATTTTTCCAAATAATTACGGACAGCTTGACACACCCTCCAAATCCTCGGGTTTTTCGATATTCATCCGAACCCCCAACCGCAGCAAATACCGCATTAAAAGGACGCTTGAAACCCGATTCCAAGCCAGCGAAATTTCCAACACGATGATCTTCTTGATTCAGTCCAGTCTCGCGCCTAACAATCGAGGGCATAAATGAGCTGATGCAGCATCGAATGATGAAAAACTGAAAATAGACGAATCTTACTTCAGATCATCGTCGAATGCCCCGGAATCGTTGAATTCCTGCGGTGCTGGTGCTGGAACAGGCCCCAACAGCTGATGCAAGTTCTCCTCAACCCCACTGAGTTTCTCTCTGGCGCGATTCAACTCAGCTTGCAGTTTACCCCCAAGAGGATCGTCCAAAAGCATTTCTGACATCTGCAAACAGAGCATTAGTCAGAAAGAAAAAAATTTATCCCTCCAAAGTTTTTCGGGTCTAGTGTACTTTAGCAATGCCAGTTAAACGCACTGTGCGCGTTCATGCGCGCGTCCATTTTTCAACCTGTGCTGCCCTCTATGCGTACTTTGCTTTCGTACAGCTTGGGAACCAACGTGGACAACAACCCTGGCAAAGACGAAAGAGTGACTTCAAATGCTACATCACCAGGAACTAAGCAGCAAGCGCGACGTCCTTTCTTTGTGTGTCAGTGCGTCTGGGAAGAAATTAAAAATTTATTCTCACATTTTTAACCCACTTGCTGCTGGGTTTAATTTTTATTCACCGTCTTTTCTCTAATATTTTCTAGAAAAAATTATTTTCGATGTCCAAAGCTGAACCGAATCGGATCTAAATTTGTGAATTTTCTGATTGTTTTCAACATATGAGCACTAATCTCATACAGTGCTAACACAGTAAACATTCAGACAATTCACAAAATGTGGAAAAATCATTAATTTCTGAAACCTTTGTTCATTTCTTATGATTGATGATTATTCCAATATGAAGTTGTCCAATACAAGTCAAAAATTTCCGTCCAATTCTCGTCAAACTTTTTTTAATTCACACTGAACTTACACATTTTTATAAAATTGCGAAGAAAGAAATGAGTAACTAAAACAGAGCTTGGGAACTATTTTATTTTATTCCTCAAATACAGTTTACAGCAGGGTTCCACAACCTTTTTGGCCCGCGGACCGGAAAATTTCAATAAAATTGTATGCAGAATGCAAATTTTCAACAAAATTTCTGCAGACCAGCAATGTTTCATAAAATTGTTTCAGACTTGAAAAAGTTTTGCTTGAAAGACTTGACGGCAGGTATTTAGAAAGTTTCTGTTTTTTTCCCAAAATTTCAGTCAATAAGAGCCAACAAAGCAGCTATATTGGAGTATATTCAAAAAATTTACTTCATCATGTGAAACTTTTTCTGAGTAAGTGTTGATAGGAGAAAAGCCAACATTGATTTTTCATGAGATATTTTTAACTGCCATTGTCTTGCCAAAATTTTAGATGAATATAATGTTATGTCCTTCATTGCTACTTTTGATCAATGCCTGAGAAAATGTCCCGCGGACGGGCAAAAAAGTTCTGCGGGCTGGCGCCGGTCCGCGAGGAACACTGGTTTATTGTACAGTATACTTCAAAGAAAAGGAAAGAACCCAGAAATAAAGTAACTCACGTTTGCGATGGGTTCTCCTTCGTCGACTGAGATTTTCACGAAGGCTTTTTGAATGTCGTAATGCACAGCGGGATCCTTTGTTACTTCGATCAGTTTGTAAAAACTTTCACTGGCGGAAGAACTGCAAATTCAATCAGAAAAGATATAAAAAAAGAGCTCGATCAATCCATTTTTTTTCATCGTCGGGGATAAAAAAAAAATTTATCAGAGTCATGGTCTATGTACAATACTCTATATAGTAGCTATTACAAGAGCTAAGCTTTCAAAATGTTATCTAAGTAGAGTGCGCATTGCTAGCTCGACTTTAAACAAAAATAGAAACCGAGTTGACAAACTAATGACACATCGTCCAATGTCCAATGCCCGTAGATTTGTACAACCATCAGAACCGTCAGTTTTTATCTGATTCTTGAGTACTCGATAGAATCTAGAGATTTTTTCTGAATTATATTCCTCACCGAATGTGTTGATACTCTTGATCTATCCTGCAGCTCATGTTCAGCTTTCCGGATGTCAAATCGGAGCGCCAAAAAGTTATTCTTTTTATCTCTTTTGAAATTCTGACAGATTTACCAAATACAGTACAGCGACAAAATGGATCAAGTTTCTGAATGAGAAAGACTGCTGAAACATCCGGCTTATATGCGCAGAAAGGTATTGAATCTAGAATAGTACGATAAAACCGCGCATGCGTTACATATGCTGAGAATTCTATAACATATAATATTGTAATAAGAAAATGAAGACGTATTATTCAAGAGTATAATTGACGCTTGCTTTTGAAAAAGTATATTTCACCAGCTGCGACTGAGAGAATGTATTTGCAGTTAACTAGGAAGGGAATCCATGGATTGACGTTAATTTGACGTTTGTCAGCGATTACGGTAGATCGATTTTAATAATGCTGTCAATTAAATCAAGACGTGATCATTTTCAGCAGGTTCTCTGAATAACATGCCACAGTCATCCCCATTCAATGTATATAAGGAGATCCTGCCTCATTTCAATACTGAATAAGCTGGTGTGGGTGTAAGAATTTTCTGAAAATTATGAAATCTCAAATACTATATTTTCTCCATTAGAACCCTTGGCATTAATATAAAAGAGACAATTTTTCTACAAACTTTTATTATAGAGGCCCCCAATATATTTACAACAGGATTCTGTGCAGCTAATCGGCCATGCATAACAAGTATAAGTGAGTTTTTCCTTTAAATAAATCCTAATTTTATTTTTATTTTCTGCTTCTAATTTTTTATCGGCGTTAAGATTGGTTTGCACGGCGATCCAGTATAAAAAAAGGCAAGGTTGAATCCTCTGCAGCATGTCAATGGGACTCAATATTTCGTTCATGAGTTTTGAAGCTTTAAAACCCAGTCAAAATTACCCTGGAGGGTTAAATGTAATTGAATGTACAGTATACTTAATGCTTCCTGCAGAATATACAGTATTAAGCTATCATCCATTCTAATGGGGCGAATTCCCATCTAATTGAGACGAGGAAAGTTAAATCGAACTGTTTAGACACTCGTACATCTTAAAAAAATAACCTAATAATATAAGCATTATCGAAGCTATTAACCTACAGTCTAAAGAGAAAAGGTGAAATAATTGTAAATTTTCGAATCAATGAACCAGGATGATGCCCCGGTAGAACGTATATTTTTACTGCACGGTATGAGACGTTCATAGCGATCTTCTGACGCAAGTACGGGAATGCACAGTAATCTTGGATTCCCGCGTACGGAAGACTATTCCAGCAGCATGTTATCGGTCTTCTCAGTCCGTCAATTCTGCTTGTGTCGCCAGAAAACTCGGGTCTAGTGTACTTTAGCGATGCCAGTTAAACGCACTGTGCGCGTTCATGCGCGCGTCCATTTTTCAACCCGTGGTGCCCTCTATGTGTACTTTGCTTTCTTACAGCTTCGGAACCAACGTGGACAACAACCCTGGCAAAGACGAAATTATTCTGATTTGAAATGCTTCGCATGAGGATATCCGTGAGAGCTAGAGCTTCTTTCTACCATCATTTGAAACGCATACATTGCTTGCAAGCTTTCCGGATGTAATGCGTTCTTCCCCTTAAAAATATAGGGTCTAGTGTACTTTAGCGATGCCAGTTAAACGCACTGTGCGCGTTCATGCGCGCGTCCATTTTTCAACCCGTGGTGCCCTCTATGTGTACTTTGCTTTCGTACAGCTTCGGAACCAACGTGGACAACAACCCTGGCGAAGACAAAAGAGTGACTTCAAATGCTGCATCACCAGGAACTAAGCAGCAAGCGCGACGTCCTTTCTTTGTGTGTCAGTGCGTCTGGGAAGAAATTAAAAAGGAACCAACGTGGACAACAACCCTGGCAAAGACGAAAGAGTGACTTCAAATGCTACATCACCAGGAACTAAGCAGCAAGCGCGACGTCCTTTCTTTGTGTGTCAGTGCGTCTGGGAAGAAATTAAAAACCATGGTGTTTAAACTTGAATATTTTATTTTTAAATCCAAGCGGGGGGTACACTGTGGAGTCCATTTTTATAGATTTAAAAATGCAGTATATAAAGTATATAAGCAGTATATAAAAATACTGTACATGAGTCCTACACACCTGACTCATTAATAAAACATTACCACTCAGCAAAATACATGACAAAATACATACTTTATATGCAATTGCAAAAAATCCATGACAAAAAATTCATCCAAATACATGACAAAAATCCTAACACACCGATGCTATGTAAGTCCAAACACAGAAATACACGACGCGGAGCAAAGCAATAAAAATACATGACATGCAATTGCAAAAAATCCATGACAAAAAATTCATCCAAATACATGACAAAAATCCTAACACACCAATGCTATGTAAGTCCAAACACAGAAATACACGACGCGGAGCAAAGCAATAAAAATACATGACGCGGCTCAAAGGTTGTAGTACACAACGCGGCTCAAAAGTTGTAGTACACAACGCGGCTCAAAAGTTGTAGTACACAACGCGGCTCAAAAGTTGTAGTACACAACGCGGCTCAAAAGTCTAGAAGTCCTACACACCAGGCAGCTAATAATAATAAAGTTACTTGAATCCATCCATCAGGGAGCAACTCTCTTACTTTTTCTGCAGGGCCCACTTCCACCTCCCTCCCAATGAGGGGAAGCAGAGGCTGCTGCAGGGAGTTCCCCTTTCCCGTTTTTCAAAGTTTAAAAATTTGGCAAAAATTGAATTCTCTATCAAAACTACTTTTGAAAACTTTATATGAAGCACCATGATGTTTGCCACATTTCCTTTTTTAAATTTTGAAAAAGGTTTAAAATTAATCAAATTACAATGAAAAATGCAAAACAATTTTTCTAAAACGTACAAAAATTGCAAAAAATAATTTTACTTTTTAAATTTTAACTGCCATATTTTCCATCATGAAACAAAAATAAAAATATTTAAAATCTTAGAACATCCTTGCGCAAATATTCCTGCAAAATCTTTGAAATTTAGATAAAATTGAAAAAATGACAATGAGCTAAACTGAAAAATGCGGAAATTTTTGAAATTTTCAATTCCCGTTTTTTCATGTTTAATAATTTGTCAAAAATTCAATTACTCAACAATTTCCATATTTTTTCAAGTGTTACATGCGCAATGAAGTTTCCAACATTTACTTTTTTGAAATTTTTGAATAACTTGAAAATTGTGTGAAATACAATAAAAAACGCAAAAACGTTTTAGCAAATCGTACAAAAATTGGGAAAAAAGATTTTGTATTTATACTTTTTACTCAATTAATTTTCAACATTTTTCTGATACAAAAATATGTAAAATCACAAAACTTCACTGTGCATCCAGCCCTGTTAAAAATTTTTAAATTGAGCTGATTTTGGAGAAAGTTTAGTGAGTTGAAGTTGAAGCTGTAAATGTTTTCATCCTGCTTTTCAAAGTTTAAAAATTTATAAAAACAGTTCTATGGCACCAAACATCAAACTTGAAACAGGGTTAGATGTGTGGCAAAGTTTTCCACATTTCTGTTTTTTAAATCACAAAAAATATTCAGAATTGACAGAGATATAGTCAAAAGCGCAAAAATTTTTTAAAAATCAAGACAAAATGTTTTTTTTTTAATTGCACAAGAAAGTTTTTTCAGTGCCTAATTTCAAAAACTTTGTAACAAAAAATATTCAGAATTGACAGAGATATAGTCAAAAGCGCAAAAATTTTTAAAAATCAAGACAAAATGTTTTTTTTTTAATTGCACAAGAAAGTTTTTTCAGTGCCTAATTTCAAAAACTTTGTGTTTGTAGATCACCTGTGAGCATATAACACACAAGACTGTTTAAAATTTTACAGAAGTTGAGACTAAGGTAAAAAAAAGTAAATTTCTGTTCCCATTTTTTCTTCCCAATTTTTTCACTTTAAATATTTGCCAAAAATCAAATTTTGCAGCAATCTTCAAATTTCTTAAAGTGTTGTATGCAAAATGAAGTTCTGAACATTTCCTTTTTTTAACTTGGAAAAAGCTTCCAATTAGATGAAGTTATAAGTAAAAATGTGAAGACATTTTTTGAGCTACCACCAAGTGAAAGTGGGGGAAGAAGAGAAGAAAAAAACCTTCAGCTGTACATCACTTGGCCCTTCTGGCGCCATCCATAAAGGATTTCCTGTGCCAGTCACAACTGGCTTCACCCTCTTTGAATTGCACAGCAGCAAAACACTATAAATGTGTTCTCTAAATGTTTCTTTCTGAACTTGGAAATATCTTCATATTTTACTGAATTACAAGCAAACATACAATGTACAAAATCAGCATTTTTTTAAATTTAGCTATTTTGATTTTCAAGATTTTTCCAAGCTATTTTGATTTTCAAGATTTTTCCAATCAGAAAATTACATAACATTGTGAAATATCAGTGTGGATGTTACTTCAAAATTTCTTTTTGATTTTTTAAGAAACAAAACAGCTAAAATGGGGTATACTGAAAATTGGGGAACTGTTGAAAGTTTTCCCCTGAAGTTTTTGATTTGATGTAAATTCAATAATTATGTAATATTTTCTATCAAACATTTTAATGAGCCAAACTTCATGACATGCAAATCCTGAAAAAGACAGAATTTGAGACATGGGAAACATTTTAAAACTGAGTTGAATTCAAATACAGGATTTTTTCTAAATTTTTATATGCACTTTCAATTTTTGAATTCTTCAATTATGGAAATTTTTCTAAAAACAAAATTTTAAAATGAACCAAGCATTGAGATGCACAACCCTGCAAAAGTAACAGAATTTGAGGCTTAGGAAACATTTTTAAAATCAAGTTAAAGGCAAAAAAGAGAAGTTTTTGAAATCAAATTCACAAGTTATGAATATGTTTCTACAAAAAAATAAGCCTAACTTCAAGATGTACTGACCCTGCAAAAATTAAAGAAATAATCCAGTATGGGAGATGCACACCACAGTTTTCTGAGGTTTTGGTTTTCACTCTATGAAATACATTGATGAATGACTGAGATGATATTGAAAAAATGGCCTCTTCTTGAAATATATTTGGAGAGGGCTCAAAGAAAAGTTTCATTGTTATGCAACAAAAAACAGGACATCAATCAATTCAGTCTTATTTAAAATTCTTATATTCATAAAACTTCTCAAATCATTGATAGCATTCCTCAAGTGTATTTTTCAATTGAAATCAAACATCTCAAATTTGAGGGAGCAATAATACTGATTGACATGGAATTCTTTTGAAAGCATGGGTAAAAAGTAAAGTAATGGATATATTCATTTCTTCAGCAATCCAAATATAATTTTCAACCAAATGCAATGGGTCCCATTTTGCAAGTGTATGGTTCATATACAGGACAGGTTTGTTGATCAATGAGGTTTTGAACAAGCAAATTTTAAATCTGGAAAGGTTCACTGAAATCATTTCCAAATAATTTTGAGAGGGATGCATTCATTGTGGTGGTGAGGGTAGGGGAAGGAAGATGTCAATACATGTAGGACCTGGGGTTCATTGCAGATGATTAAACCCCAGCATATGCACCATTCACAATTTCTGGGCTGATATGGTTTTTTTTTTGGCTTCCACTTTTTATTGAATGGGTCTCAACTCTGACAAAAGACCAGTTGGGAAAGGGAGGAGGCCTCAGTCCATCCAACAAATAATCTGCTGGAAAGGTAACAATTCTGCAGGTAAGCTTTGCATGCAATGGAGAAGATTTGCCTTTTGAGTCCAAATTCTGGAGAAATCCCACTATATTGAGGTGGGAAGAGGAGGGGATCCTTAAATTTTCAACTAGACCCTGTCAATACAAAAAAATACTATACAGGCATATACTTTTTTTTACTGGCTAGGTGTGGCTAAGAAACGCCTAAAATACATGACCTAGAGTCAAAAAAGTGATGTTAGGACAATTATTTTGTGGAGAAGGAGAATTTGACCAGATGAGCTTTCTTGGGTTTCATGCAAGACAAAAATTTGCTGTGTTCCAGGTGTCACCCACTTGGTCAGATACTGAAAGAGTTTCTGCACTTTCTAAATTTTTTAGGTATGGCCTCAGATATCTGGGTTCCAAATCAAAAAGCAAGTGACCCGTGCTCATAACCAATTTTATCTACCTAAAAAGTTTCAAATGATGCCCAGGTGTGGCTGGGCATCCTATTTTTTCCATTCACCCTGATTTATTGGAAATTTTTTGAATCTTTGGAAAGTTTCAAACATGATGCCCATGTGCAGCTGGGCAACCCCCATTTTAATCATAAAATTTTAAAATAAGTCCAAAATTTTAAACATGATACCCAGGTGTGGCTGGGCACCCTGGCAAGTAGGGAGAGTGGTATACTGCATCATGTATTTATCATTCAAGTGGAATACCTGAAGTTTTTCAACCTGTGCTTCTTGTAATTGTTTGGACTTATATTCAATTGAAGCAATTTTTTTAAATCAATAAAAATGGACTCCACAGTGTACCCCCAGCTTGTTGGATTTAAAAATAAAATATTCAATTTAAAACACCATTGTTTTTAATTTCTTCCCACATGCAAAGACACACAAAGCAAGGACACAAAGACACACAAAGAAAGGACACTTTGAGAGATATTGTGATTTGATGTGGATGCAATGCTGCTTGGTTCCTGTGTTACTGTGAGGTAGCCTTTGAAGTCACTCATTGCCAGGGTTGCTGGAGGCGTTGGTTCCGAAGCTGTAAGAAAGCAAAGTACACATAGAGGGCAGCACAGGTTGAAAAATGGACGCGCGCATGAACGCGCACAGTGCGTTTAGCTGGCATCGCTGAAGTACACTAGACCCAGTTTTTCAAAGCGTTCAACTGGACGCAATCAATTCTCAACAAAAATTCTCAACAATTCTATCAATTCTCAACAATTCTATCAATTCTCAACAAAAATCAGTGACCGGACATTATGGTACACTTTCAAACTCCACCCAACTCACTTCCACGCTGCCCCTCCAGAGGGCTGTTCCCTACCACTCCATCCCTCAATGCCGAAAATGAGTGACTTCATGAACTGCGCATGCTTGCAGATATGAATTACATGTTGAAGAATTGTGTAGGAGTAGGAAGATACCGTAATATTCAATACAGTACTTTCCTGTTATCTCTGTACCTCATTCCTAGACTGCACTACCATCCAGACA